AGCGGAAACGGCGAGAAGGGTGTCGGCAGTAATGGCCATGGGCAGCACCGAGTAGAGAGAGTAGTCGATGTGCTCTCCAATAATGTTAACTCGTCCAGGAGAGCGAGCGACGAAAGAAGCAGCATGTCCGTAGGTAGACTCAAACTTGCTGAGAAGGTTATTCCATCGTGGACCCTGCTCAGCGAGGGCCGCAGCAGGATAGATGTCGCTCAAGGCGTTGGCAACGGGCACGGTACCGGTCATGGTGAATGAAGTATATGATACAGTATGTCTTTGCGATTGGCTTTCTTGCTTCGAAAGAGACAATTACGAGCTTTTGTATCCGTCGCAAGCTTTATCGCGTGAGAAGCTGTCGTTGCAAGGTTCCTAAATGCCCCGCTATTGCCCCTCGAGGGATCGTGGGCCAGCTTTTGATGATATGACGTAGATTTCTACTGTCGCAACGGAGTTTCTGTAATTCAGCTATTGGAGCTGTCACAAAGGTCGTGTGCCTTATATATGAAAGACTCTGCGATCCTCAAATGAGTAAGAAACTTGTGTTGAAGAACAGTCTGAGCTGAAAATTCCCATCAAACACTTTCACATCCTCTCCTCGACCCCTCAACAACCCCCGAATATATCCCCACCTATCGGCGTACAGCATGAGAGCTTCCCCAGAACGTGTAGCGCAATTGCTCGTGTGGTCAAGTTCTCGGCGCTTTAGCGAGCACCGTAACGGCTAAGTTGCGAGACGGAGTGGTTCTGCTGTGGGGTTGGCGTTTCTCTTTGCGCAGAGATAGGTGCGGTTGTCAAATGGTCGGTCCGTTATAATAGCTCATCTCATGGATGTTGCTTAGACTAAAGAGCTCATCATGCCGATGCCCGGGGTCGTTTTGAGACATGAGAACCCATGATGCGAACAAAACTCCGAAATATTACGACCTAATATCATGGAAGCTTGAAGCAGCAAGAGTCCAGGGTATCAATCAACTTGGTTCCCTCAAGTCACACCATCCAATGAATTTACGCTACAGACGAATGCAAACAATGACGCCTGACGAAAACGGCCATGATCATGACCTATTGTTTGGGCGTTTATTTACAAAACATTCACTGGCAACTGACAGCCAGTGCCCAGATAATCTGAGCCTATGCTCTGCGAACACCAGCAGGATTTTATCATTTCCATCATGAGTTCGTTTACCTACCCTGTAAACGCGCCTGAGCATCTCCAGGGACTTCACCTCAACAAATCGTCGGCGGTTCCTACACCAGAGGCGAAACGAGAGAAGGTCTCAAGATGAGTTACCCAACCCAACAGCTACAGCCCTTCACGCTGTACATGACGATCTCCGTTCCCGAGGTGCCACCTCATACCATTGCTCATATCTACGACATCGACTCAAGCAATATTGGGGTTGTACATCTGCAAGGCTTAGAGGGGACCTCACAGCATGTTGTAGGCTCCGAGAAGTTCGAATGGGGAGTCTACTGGCACCGCGACCTTGGTAATGGGACATGGTATAACTTCCGCTTCACCCCTCCCGAGATGTACAAAGGACCGCCAGGACTGTACCAGCCTTGGATCTACAGTCAGGCCACTGCCAAACAGTCGCCACGACTACATCACCACGTCGTCGGACTCATACGAATCATACGCGTCCCCGATACCATCGGCTCTGGTATCACGGCCTACCTCGACTGGATGGCTCCTCTGATTGCTACCAAGGCGAAGCGCGATGACCTTTGGGCAATGTCGGTTTGCCTCCGAACGCGAAAATACGTGGCCAGGGAGAGAAAGACAGAGGACAAGGGAGTAGAGAGGTTCGATGCCACTCTCTTCACGGTGGAGGCGGTGCAGTTTGCCTATCGTGAGGTGTAGTACGCCTTGGCTGGACAGCTCCCACGGCCTATCTATGTCCCGGACACCGGAGTCGTGAAGGGTTGCTGAGAAGCGAAGATGCTTCAAGACTCGGAAGAATTTCGAGCTCCTAAGAGTTGCGACAATAGTAAGTTGAGACAAATACCCGTCGGAAGATCACAAGTCTAACCAGTGACTAAGATAAGGTAGTCGTTTGTCTACAACCACCACGTGGCTAATTCATAAGAGGACATGCACGGATCGAAAAGATAAGGTCCTGAGCCAAAACACGCAATGGCCAGCAATTTCTGGGAGGAATTACGAGGGACGAGAAAGATCATGAGATGACGCGAGTAACCGAGGCTGTCTTGAATCTAGTCGCCCCTCTATCACCCATTCATTGTCTGCCCATCCTGCCTCCCTGTTCAGCCTTTAACGAGAAAGCGGGTTCGGTGCGAAAAATGGCAGCACGATAGACTGTTCATGATTCGTTGAAACGGTCGTTATTGGTCACTTTCATAGAAAACTAGAAAATAATAAATACTGGCCTTTTTTTCGCCAGTGATTCATCATGAGCCGCGGGTCGCCGATGAGAAAAAGCAGGGAATACCTACTGCCACGTGATTATCCCCGAGCCAACGACCACTGGCATCTTCGTTCCTTCACGCCTCGACAAAGAAGAAGAAGAAACCAACGAGAAGAACTTACTTTAGTCTTTTAGTATTTATTATTTCCGACGAGATATAGTCAAGATGGGACACCACAACCTTCGTTTCGACGGCGATCCTCACTCACTGAATGGAGCTTGGAGTCCCCCTACTAGCAGGGCCAAGTACGACGTCACCCTAGCTGTCAATGGTATCAACGGTTCACTGACTTGATGATTGCAGTTTTTGTGAGGAAGATTATGCTGTGTCATTCTACCTGGCCGAATTCATCAATGCCTTGACAAACGTTACGTACGGTAAGTTCTTGTGTCACGCCGCAAGATCCGAATCCCTGGCCATAGCTGACTTTTCTGGCTTGTAGTTTACTTGGCTCTTCGGTCCATGTATGGCTCGCGTAGTCGCAGCCGTGGCCTTTTTGATCCGAAATGGGACTTTATGTCTGTCTCCCTCTTGGTTCTTGGCTTCGGGTCATTTCTCTTCCATGCGACTCTTCGCCAGACGTTGGAATTTGTCGATGAACTGTCAATGCTGTTGCTTTCATGGTCGATGCTTCGTTCCCTCGTCATCTTACGACAGTCTCCTCAGAACATTCGCTACATCTCGATCGTCCTGGCAATTTTCTTCATTTCCTTCTCGGTATTCTACGTCAGGTCTGCCAAGATCATTTATCAGGTCATCGGCTTTTGGGTTTCTCTCATCGTCATCGGCGTACGCGTTCGCTATCTATTCCATTGGGCCAAGCCAGCATTTTCCGAAGAGAATGTAGGCGATTGGTCTGTCCGAGTATGGACTGCAACGTTCACCTGCCTGTTTGGATATTTCATTTGGAACCTCGATCTTGAATTCTGCGCTGAGCTGAGGAACTTTCGACAGCGCATTGGACTGCCCTGGGCTTGGCTTCTTGAGTTCCACGGCTGGTGGCATATTTTGACGGCTCTTGGTGCGAGCCAGTTCATGAATGTGGTGAGGGAGGTTCGCGAGGAAGTGAGTCGGGAGAAGAAAGAATGATTGGATAACCAAAGGCGCATGGCGTTGGATAGGATTGTAAGCCTCGGGGAGCAAGAAAATGTTGGACCTTGATTGATATGAGGCATAAAAATAAACTCAGCAGAAGGTATACTAATCTCCCATTTGCTAAGTTATCCAAGTTCTTTTATCATTTAGGACAAGGGTCCTAAGTTTTATCTCCCATAGTGTGGTATATCTCTATGAGGCTCAGGCAACCTCTGGACGTTCAGGGATCAAAGAGCGCTATTGAGCTAATATTGCAGTTGCTGGCCGGTTACGTGAGAAATGCTTACAGCCGTGATACGAGCTGTCGTTTCTTATTTCACACCCGGTGGCATCGGGATGAGCAGGTATCAATATCTTCAAATTATAATCGATCTTGCGTTGACAAGGATCAGTTCTTGAGCAAGAATGCGCAGGATAATGATACATTATCTGGTATTTGTGTAACTGAGGCGAATATCAGACATTCAGACGTCACTTTTGGACCCTGAGACAGTTAGTTACCCCTCCATACCCCGCTGACCTGGGACAGCCCTAGGCCTAAGATATAGATAGACAACGCAAGGAAAAGAGCAAAGATGTCTATGTAGTCTGTTGGAATATGGTTAGAACATTGAATACACAGGGTAAATGAAAGGACTGATCGTTTATACTTACCATATAGTGTTAGTTGAGATACAAAAACCATGAACCGAACTTATCTACACATGTTTCTTCAGGCCCCAGACTTGGCTTTTACAAGCAACGAACAATGATCTAGAAGCCCATTTCTCCATCGGAACTCGGTCAATTCCATTCCATTGATCTTCCGACTAGGAAAGGAAACATTACCTAGACTGCACCAATCATCAAGCACCATGATCCTGTCTCCCCACGTCATTCGACGCCTCCTAGCGAGGTGCACCAAGTAGTTACACTCAGTTGGGAAGATCTGCCGATGAGAACGGTCAAGCTTGAGAAGTCGAGCCATTGGGGAGCCGTTTCAGGCGGCCAAAGAGAAACTCAGGCTGGTGTGAAACTGCGCGAACCACTGATTTTGACCCGCCGTGACTCCTTAAGGCTCTTCCCGTCTTGCCCACTGTCAGTGAATCAGTCTGCCCTCTGCCGTCTTTTAAAAGAACCTCCCCTCTTATCCACCCGCTATTTTCCTTCTCCTCAATCAACTCACTCTCCACATCTCAACTTCATCACAAACACAAACACAAACACACACACAAACTTCAATACCAACCTTCAAAACAACCATCATCATGTCTGGATGTGGATGCGCTTCTTCTGGCTCTTGCGGCTGCGGCTCTAGCTGCACCTGCGCCGGCTGCCCTGTAAGTTCTCCCTGGTCTGGTGCATGTCTCAACGGTCCGAGGACTAACGGATACCAATCAAGCACAAATAAACTATTCTTCAACGCCTTCGACGGGAACCCTGATGGATGAGACATGGGGAATGGGAACTCGGTTGGTGGTTAGCGATGGATCCACTCGTTACTTCTTGTTGGCACTAAGGTGCAAGTCTCAGAACTAAATGACGATCACAAATTGCAGTCTGGAGTCTTGAAGATGATGTATCATGCTTGTATTGTGAATGTGCTATCCTAAACTCAGCTGGTGGCCTGTTTCCAACTGGGCCAGCAGATCTATCTCTACCAACGATTGTCTGACGATGGGAAGAATGCTAGAACCGGACTCAAAGCCATACTCTGCCAATCCTCCGTTATTATTAACTCGGGCTCGGATTCCCCTTCTTCATCCAAATATACACCCGCCATTGCTTCCACCTCTTGAACATCCTGGGTAGGCCACTTTAACTGGTGACGCTGCCCTCTTTCGTATGCCATCAGCATAGCCTCTCGTAACAACCTCGCACCATATAGTATCGCAGCTATGACTGACATGGAAAAACTTGCCTGTGCGATTTGGCAATACCCTCGGGTTCTGTCACAAGCCGCAGAACACCCTCTGGTTAGGTACCAAGGATGTGGACTTGGGTGTTCAGGATCGGTCAAGTCGCTCGACGTTTGGCCCGCAATGCTCACTGCCCAGAGCGCGAGAAGGATCGCATCGTAGATGTTATTCACGTAGCGTGGGAGGTATCGAAGATGTGACATGGCCGTGCGAGCGAAGAAGACGACCAACCCAAGGATGGCGATGGCGAGGTTCGAGGTGTAGAGTCTGGAGACGCTCCAATATCAATACGTTTTATATCAATAGGCTTTGGTATCAAGATGTCGGGTATCGTACCTTTGACTCCAAATCAGAGGCACTTCAGGTGGCTCTTGATGGTTGGCATAATAGTAGATCCGCTTGTTAGGGTTGGAGTTCCATCCTTCTTCGCCACCGTTCTCCCATAGTCGTGATCTGAATTCTACTGGATACATGATACCAAATAGAGTCACTGCCGTGGTCGAAATGGCCAACTCTGCGAGAATCAGCGCGAACGGTGTCTTGTGCGTAGGCGCCATGGCTGCGAGTTCTTGCGGGAACACTCCTCAAACATCGAGAGAGGCGGGGAGCATTCTTTAAATGGGCTTGGGCCGGAGTCCAAGGCGCATTGCGAGTAATACGGTGACAATCAGTGGACAGGCTGTGTTGTTTTTCGGTCGAAAGCCCGCCTCACAACCCTGCGCTTTCCTGGTGTCGAAACTTGCTCATACTGCCGCAGCGAAGGATGACATTGGCACCTTGGAATATCGCACAACACAACATATGGATCAATACTATGGTTACCTGATAATATTCTCTGATCACAGCAGATGGACCACAAGATACTCTGTTAGTACAGTGGATGGTCATGAGGGTAAATCTTAAAGTACGCCACGATGTTTCTCCACGAACTTAATATACGTTTCTGCCGATTTATTAGACGACACTAGCTCCCGTTGAAGGTCCAGGAACTCGGAAATTAAGAAGATTAATGGCGGCAGGGGCATTGGGTAGAGCTCCTTATGACAGTCAACCGATGGCCTGCGAGTTGTTCACGTCTATTATGTTCCACAAAGAGCGTGTTATTTTCTGTTTTGGTACACTAACAACCCTGGAATCAGGCACGAGATGCAAGTGAGTCATGTAAGATCTTTTGTCAACATGGCGTCCATCCAAACAAACGACCGAGAGTGTGCCACGCTGAACGTTGTCGGTCCCAACCACCTAGAGATGCATGCTGTTGATAACAAGCATGACATGTGCTGCTACAAGACTAGCAGTGAGTGCTAGACATGATTGAATTGTCCCACGGCGCTCGAATTATCAGGTTGGAGACCTGACAAATCTGATATCAGGCACATTCGTTCAACGAGGGCTCGAGTGGCGTTCACCCGGACTGGTCGTGTGTAAGCCATGGTCCTCTCGAGGTTTGAGAAATTTTGTCATAGAGACATGTTTAGCCCCTGGCATTTCTAATATGAGACCAATCTCCTTAGACTTGTTGTGTCTCTAAGTTCGATGGTCTTCTTGTAATATCGAGGTTGGTTCCCATGAGATAAGAGTTTTGACGATTTTGTCTCTTTTTGCTCGTGACCTTAGCTGATTGATCATCTCAGTTTTAGAGCACATTTGGAATATGAGCTCATAGGCTTGATTCAGTAAAGTCAATGCTGCTATCCAATATCGAGGAGCATGAGTTGTGACAAGAGACTTCTGCGTTGATTGGTTATTCCCGAGATCGCCGAGTCTCCAAGCATGCCCGATCCCGAGGCAAGCGAGAGTTATTGGTGATGTCAGGCTCCACTCCAGCTAGGTCAGCCCGCCGCGTCCACTGCCGGGCCACTTTCAAACATCATCAGCACAAGACAAGACAAGGCTTTCTTTTGTTCCCTCACCTATACCTCACCCATAACCGACTATACTTTCGCAATACGCCGCCCATAAAATGCAATAGAACCCGGTTTTATCGAAGCCGCTTTCACTTTTACAACCACCGTTCTACCCGATCGGCACGCGACCCGAGGTTGCTATTCAACCATGCCGTCAGAAACCCAAGATACACCCGGCATAGCCGCTCTCCCTCCAGCGAAACTGGCCGATGCACCCCGACGATGCTTCATCTGCTTGACCGACGAAGATCCCTCAGATCCCCCGGGGTCATGGGTGGACCCCTGCGGATGCACCCTCGAAGCCCACCAGGACTGCATGCTCTCATGGGTAACGGATTGTGAACGCTCCAACAAACCTCTCCAGTGCCCAGTATGTAAAGATCGGATTCAGCTGGAAGGACTGTGGGATCCTATCGTTGTCATGACGGATGCTGTCGCAAATAAGTTCACTCGCGCGAGTCCTTTCATGTTGCTCTCCTCTGTCACACTTGGAGTGCAGTTCAGTCTCCAGATGTATGGCGCATTCGCCATGTGGGCTTTCTCAGGCCGCGAGGCTCTAGTTGACTATGTACTTGGTCATGAGATCTGGGTCCACGGGGAGGCGTCCCGAATTTTGATGTCTGGGGGTGAAAGGCTAGGCAATGCACTGGTTTTAACCAACGTGGGACCGGCTCTGCTGGTCGGACAGCTTATGCCATGGTTTGGAAACAAGATCTTCTTGTCCACCGCTTCACTGGTAAGTTAGGGTTCTCGAGAATATTGTCAACTACTAACAAATCACTAGTATGGCGTTTATCAAGTCATGCATGACGACACTTTCTTGACCTGGCCTCCTTCACCCCAACTCGCGATGGCAGTGTTTCCTTACGTGCGGTCTGCCTACCTCAACCTTTGGCGCGAATTTGTCTTTCCTTATGAAGTCAACCTCAATCGACAAATCATGGGGCTTCCTCCAGTCGAACCTCGACGAGATCAGCGTCCTGCCAATGAGCGACAACCCGAACAGCGGAACGGAGAAGGCGGTGTTGTGGGTTTTCTTAATGGGCTTATTGAAGCTCTCGAAGGCGATGACATCGACGAGGATGGTCAGGATGATGCTGGCGCCGGCGGTCAAAACGCGGATGGTGAGCAGGGCGGAGGAGTTGTTATCGAACTGGTCATCGAGGAGGTTGATCGAGATGACCAAGAAGACCTTGATGTTAGGCCAGCAGGACAAAACGAAATGGCTCCACAGGGACCTGTCGACGATGTGCCTGCAGCAGACGAGCCTCATAACCCAGCCCGTGTTCCCGAGGAACCAGCCCAGGATGCAGATGCCGTCCCAGCAGTTGTACCCGATGCAGGAAATGGAGATCAAGCTGCTCAACAAAACCAACATGAAGCTCCCCAAGCGCCGCCCGCCCGCCGACCCGGTTTAGGAACGATTCTATCCGGGGTCTCCAATGCCATAGTAAGCGCACTGATCCTTCCTGGTGTGTCATTTGCCATGGGTGAGCTTTTACGTCTAGCCCTCCCTAAGCAATGGACTGCTTCGTCTTCCTTTCCACGGGGAAGCACTATGCGTCCGGGACTGCTCCAGCAACAGTGGGGGCGAAGTCTCGTCGGCGGGTGCCTCTACGTGGTGCTCAAAGATTTTCTTAGACTGTATACCAAGTACCGGAAGGTAGCTGCTATAGGTAATAGGAAGGTCAAGAACGTTGACAGAGCCAGACGACGATCTGGGAAGTGAGAAACTCGAGATGGGTAAGGCCACTCTGGAGAGAGGTGGAGGATGGACGCTGTCATAATGATTGCATTAACCGGCGTTATGGATTTGTATAGCCAGGCCAGGGGCTTCTGTTTCAGGGGTGAAGGGGCATTGCTATAGCGAGATACTACAGAGATACATCAGAATAAACCATTCAACTCTTGAAGTCACGGATACATTCAGATTCTCGGGAAGTTTATATGTTGATGGTAAGTTTATTGGCCAGCAACGACAGCTCTTCGAGTGAAACTATTTGCATGAAGGGCTATTCAAGCGGGCGTTAAAGGTCAAAGCAGGTACAATTACATGGTCACGAATATCATGGATCTTTGGCACACTTTATTTATTATTTAGCTTTGACCCAGTCACGACGAATAAATAAATGGGATCCAGGTATTCCAATAATAGCCACAAAACTGGCCAGACTGAAGTCTCAAGTCTCAATAAACTAAATTAATAAGGTTACCTTTAGGCTACAGCATCTCAAGCAACTCTAATCAGATGAACACGTCGCCCGACCAGCTGAAGAGCTATAAACACTTTACTTATATCCATCGCTCCCTACTAAGATTGACTGTCGGGGTGTCGTTCCCCCGCAGCTAAATACAGCACAGATTCGGCTGCTCCCAGGCCCCACGTGGAACCTTCCAGCCCAAACCAAACTCCACGACGTCTCAACCGCGGGGCCTTTTTTTGCCTGCACTTCTGAGATCTACTATCCCTTACTTGACCTCTTGTCTCACCGAATCATATCCTCTTCTTGTTTCAATTGGATCTTTTCCTGTTAGACTTGTATCTTCTGCCTCCCTTCTAAACCTGTGCTTCAGGTTCTCTCCATTCGCTATGGTCAGCTTAATCCCCCGCAGTATCAACCACAGCTGCACTGCATCCTCGTCATGACTCTTGACATGTGGCTAATACTCTCATGCAGGCGTCTACTCACAACTCCAAGCAGCGCCTGGCGCTCGCTATCTGCGATTTCCTCTCCGCGTCGACCAATGACGGCACTCTCACCGCCGACGACAAGGACTCCATCGATGTCGCCATCAACTGTATCGCCGAGTCTTTCAAGGTCGATCCCTCCGATACCTCCGCTGTCCAAGCCGCCATCGGATCTCAGAACCTCCTCCAGATCTACTCTGTCTTCGAGAAGGCCCGCGCCGACAAGCCTGCCGCCGCTGCTCCTACACCTGCACCCGTCGAGCTCACCGACGAGCAGAAGAAGGAGGCCGAGGGCCTGAAGTCAAAGGGAAATGCTGCCATGGCCCAGAAGGACTACCGTGCTGCCATCGACTTCTACACCCAGGCTCTGGCCATCAACCCTAAGAACGCTGTCTACCTCTCCAACCGTGCCGCTGCTCACTCGGCCGACAAGGACCACGCTTCCGCTCGCTCTGACGCCGAGGCTGCCGTTGCCATCGACCCCGCTTATACTAAGGCCTGGTCCCGACTTGGTCTTGCTCGCTTCGCCCTAGGCGATGCTCGTGGTGCTATGGAGGCCTACGACCGCGGCATCCAGCATGAGGGTAACGGTGGCTCTGACGCTATGAAGAAGGGCTACGAGACGGCCAAGCGCCGTGTTCAAGAGATGGAGGCTGAGGAGGACTCTCTTCCCCGTGCTTCTCCTAGCGCCGGTGGTGATCTCGGTGCTGGTGGCATGCCCGATCTTGGTAACCTTGCCAGCATGTTCGGCGGCGGTGGTGCCGGTGGCCAGGGCGGTGGTATGCCCGATCTCGGCAGCATCATGAGCAACCCAATGTTCGCAAACATGGCCCAGAAGCTCATGAGCAACCCTGACCTTATGAACAACCTCATGAGCAACCCTCGTCTACGCGAGATGGCCGACCGCTACTCAACTGGCGGTGGCATGCCCGACCTGAACAGCCTCATGTCCGACCCTCAAATCGGAGAGATGTAAGTTACCCATTTGGCCCACGTCACTTTCACAGCCACTGACTCGATCTCCAGGGCCCGAAACATGATGGGCGGTGGTGGCAACCCCTTCGGAGGTGCTGGTGGTCCCGGTGCCGGCGGTGCCAGCGGACAGGGCGGTTCGCAACAGTAGAGATGGAATTGTGCAAATAGGGCATCTTTTTTATATACCATGGTTGCTAGGTGATACCTAAGGGTGACGATTCATTGAAGAACATGAAAACGAAGCCGTGCGCATGCTCCTCTTTTTGTTTAGCTTCTACAATAGAAACAGTAGCTATTATTATGTTGTCCAAACTACTACTCTCCTCCCCCCATTGCCAAAGATTCAAGCCTTTCTGCGTTCCCATCTTATGTACGCAGGCTGGACTGGCCTTGAGAAGAGAGAAGTGTAGTCAGTTGCTGGAACACTAGGCTTGCCATCGAGAGTCGACAGCCTGAAGTTGCGCACCAGAGTCGCGACAATAACACCCAAGTTAACATAAGCAAACTTCTCTCCGATACATCGATGCCGGCCCGCGCCAAAGGGTAAGTATGGGCGCTTCGTTCCTTTAGATACAGCACCATAGCCGTAGTCAATGACCTCGTCCGTCACGGCCTCCTCCTGGGGCTGATTATCCCACCGATGAGGATTCCATCTTTGGGCGTCTGGGAAGTGTTCTTCGCTCAGCGCTGTAACAGTTGGTGAAGCGAGGAGAACCTTATCGGTGGTGATGGTGTAGGGTGATCCAGGTGCTTGCATAGGTCTCTTGACCTTCCGCAGAATAGAGTGGATAGAAGAATGAACACGGAGTGTTTCTTTGACGACATTCTGAAGGAGAGGGAGCTTGTCGAGGTCTGAGTACTGAAGAGGTGGGAGAACGCCGCCGTCACTCAAGTTAATGACTAGCTCTTGGTAGAGTTCCTCGGCGATATCAGGGGACGAAGCCAGATGCAGTACAATCCATGAACTAGCAGAAGATGAAGAGTGTTGTCCAGTCATGAGAAGAGTGATCATCATGTGCGCGATTTCTTTGTCTGGAATCGGCTGCCCGTTCTTGTACTCGCAATTCATCAGGTTGGCGATCATATCGGTTCCCTTCTCCAAGTCCCCTCCGCCTCTTCGTCGTTCGTTGATGTTGCCCATATAGATCTCTCTCATCTTTGCATGGGCAGCGTCTCGACGTCGATTATGAGGTAGGGGTAGCCAAGGGAACAGGAAGTTGACGGGGGTAAAGCCTAGATCGAGGTCATGATACAGAGCTGCAAACTCAGCGGTAAGCTTCCGTCGAACTTCTTCGCCTTGCAAAGAACGGGCAGCAGTGAAGATGGTGATCTCAGCCATTGTTTTAGACACATCAACTGTGCCAGACTTTCCAGAAAACGAGGGTACAGCTTGGATATACTCCAAAACCTCTCGCTCGATCAACTGAACATGTGACTCAAGAGCTCTCTGGGTAAGACCAAACTTGACAAACTTCTTTTGCTCCATGAGCTTGTAGTTTGGACAATCGTACACGACATCGCTACCAAAGACAGGCGTTGTCAATGGACTGTATATTTCTTCGGCGTTGGCATCCTGGATTCGACTGTTGAGAACAAAGTCATTGCCGTCGATACCAAGACAGGCAACGACTTTTCGACCGAAGAGGATGAAGGTGAAGACATCGCCGTGCTAAGGAAGAAGTCAGCACCAGAGCTATATTGTAAGTAGGACGTGGGCTTTACCCTTTCTCGGCATTTCACAAAGAAGCCATAAGGATCGAGTCCATAAGCAACAGCATTACCAAAGAAAGGAAGCCAGTGGAAGACTAGTGGAGGTTCGTTGGCATTTCGAGGGAGCTTCTGGTATAACACGTTGAGAGTAATGATAGCTAGACAGGAAGCAAAGGTCCATAGGGGGTAGTAGAGGAGTGAAAGCATTTGGAAAGAGAAGAGATGGCTGGGGGTTGTTGGATGAGTTGTGAAGTTGAGGGAATCGGGGAGTTTATATGGACAAAAGGAAAGCCAGATCTCTTCGAGTAAGACAATACTACCCGCTCTATTGCGATTCCTATCTCTCAGCCCGGACTGGCTTCAACCATCCCATTAATGCGAGCCAGGCTTCGCCGCAGGTAAAAGTCTTGAAGCGTACTCTCGGTTATCACATCCTGATACTCAGCAGGATTCGCGGTCTCAGTCTCGGCCAATGGTTCTTCTCCGGTCGTAAGCCTGAATCGTCACTGGAGTGGGTTTGTTATATGTTCTTGGAGTTGATATCTCTTGTTTTCACCGCAAAGGAAGGTTATAGTGATGTCGAATACGTTGGATGGTTGTCGCATTCGTATTCGTACTTGACCTGCTGAAGGAGTTGAAGCAATTCTACGTCACAGTTTATTCCGAGGAATAGTCGAATTATAGAGAGAAATTCCACTCGACGTGTAGATTCAAAGTCTCCTTAATACTGGTTTCTTGTGTCCTTTGTGTGTCTTGTGTTTTCAGAGCTGGGTTGGTAGCCCCCTGTTCAAGACATGCGTCACGTCCAACAACCATCTGCCTCATAATGCCCAGCAACTACAAAGCTCAGCACATACGACCATAGCTATCAGACAACTCGGGATCCCGTCCGCTCTCCGTTCGATAAACTGATAAGTGCTGAATTAGTAGTTGGGTCGGTGACGACCAGCGAATCCTCGGTGTTGTATGTTTTTCTTTTTGCTATTCTACGATATGATCATTGTGAACTATACATAAAAACATATGACTGTCTAAAGACATACAGCTAATCGGAATCTGATCCTCTATCGCTTCTTGAACGGTGTGTCTCGTCGGTAGTGCCATGAAGTGGAATCGCCATAGACTCTTTCATACCCAAACACTCCCTCAACCAAATTCAAAATTGCGGCAGCAGATATGTTGTAGATTGGCCCGTATCTGTTCTCGCAGTGCAGCGTGAGTTTATCACACTCGAGTCCAAAGCCCGAGGCGGCGTGGTTGAGTGTGATCTCCACCGCAGGAGGCTGGGATCTGTTAGATATGCCCTTGTCAAAATACCATAGACGCAAGAGATACTGACCTTGTCGACACGATTGACGTTGGTCTTTGTCCACTTTTTCAAGTACTCGGCTAAAACTTCCAAAGTTTGGCTGTGGCTACATTCAATTTCAATCTTCTGGCTCCTGTTTAAGCTCGAGTACACAAAGAGATGATAGGGAGCTTGCTGGAAAAGTGCACTAGGCTTCGGCATAGTGTTGGGGTCTGGGAGATAATCAATAGCTGGTGCTTTTTTGCCTGTTTGTGAAGGTTTCGCAGGCTCTTCTTCTCCATCTTCTGCTGCAACATCCGCCCATTCATCACCCGTGGTGGAGTGTATGGGCAACGTTTTGGATGGTCGATTTTCTTCGAAGCACTGAAGAAGCTGTTCCTTGAACAGACCGAAGTACTGAGCTGGCTGGCGAGTTACATCTTTGGGAATATACAGAATGAACCCAAGTTGTGCAGCAGACCACTTGGTTGATGGTCGTTGATTCTCTGATACCTACGATGAACCATGTCAGCCAGCTCCGAACCCGCATCAACAACTTTGAGTAACATACCTCAACTGTCAAGTTCAACCTCGAAGTCAGGTCTCTGATATTCGTAAGGACAGTGTCCGTCCAGGTCTCATGAGCTTCATCATCAAGCAACTCGGTGAGTGCTTCAAGCCAGATATGAATGAAGGATGCCACTGAAGAAACCAGCTCGCCCTTATCTTCCCAAAAGCTCTCTAGCTCGGATACAAGAATTTGCCATTGAGGCTCACAGTAAACTTCAAGACCGAGCACGTCTTTCAGCTTTTTCATAGACTCTTGAGCACGACATTCGGGCTTTTCCCAATTATCGCGGATCGAGACTTTGGCCTTCAGTGGTCTGATAATTGCGTGAATAAGAGAACCAGCCAATGAGAGACAAAGGCGGTGGAGGTCAACTTACAGAGACATGATTTGCGACGGAGAGTTCAATCTTGAGATGAGGAAGATTCACGATGAAGAGAGAGGCTATGAACTCATATCTCCATTATTATTTACCTGCCGTCGGTTAAGTGAACCCCTGAAGTTGATCATCCTCTTTCTGCCTAGGGAATGCGGCTTCACGCTGGGTCGGGGTATCACACGCTAAGCAACGCTATGTTTTCAGCTGGGCGTTTTAGCGTTGTAAGGCAGATTAAAAACCAATCATCACCGCTATTTCTCCCCAACATTCCTATCTGCAGCCTTCCAATAGGCCTTAGGCAGCTATACGCAGGGTCCTCATTCTAGGTAGCTCTCGGCCTGGGGAAAACGCCATGTGGCTATGGGTAACTTGGTTAACTCTGCAAAATGCATATTCGCCCTTGGCTCCAGCACGTGCTATTGGCCACAGGCTGGATTGAAGCCTTGTCATGGCAATGGAAGGCGTTGTCAAGTGTTACACGCTTGTAGCTTGACTACTGTATACACAGTCTAGCTTCAAATAATAACGGCACATCAGTTGCCGGTTTAGACTCTGAGACTAGGCTGATATGGCAGGTCGTCAGGGGTTCAGATGCTAGAAACAAGCATAAAAACCAGTCTCGCACCACAAGACTCCGATCTGAGTATCAACAACTCTCTAAATCAGTCTACCAACTCACAACTAAGATCTCCCTCTTCTGCCATCATGTCTCGACTTCCACCTGCTGAGAAATTGCCCCTTGCTGTCCGCAAGAATAGTAAGTATCTTCCATAGACCAGTCGTGATGGTATCACTAACAAGACTCCAGTCCGAGACAGCTGGGAGAACACCAAGGCAGACCACGAAAAGAAGCTCTCGGATATTCTTGGTCAGCCATGGACTATCAACATTGATCCCAAAGCCCTCTATCCTTATGCCGAGGATGGTTCCTGGGGCCATTCTTCCATGGGTGATCTCATTGTCAGGTTCGTTTCCCTTTTAAGCAGTCCACCTTAGTCGTTATCAGTCAGAAGCGTGCCTTAGTGGATCAAGTGGTCATTGTTAATAGCTGGCTAACGGTTACCGCGTCTGTTTAGCTATGTTGAGGGCGTTGAAGATCAACTGAAGTACTTCATTGAACGAAATGGAGATGGGGCTAAGGATGAGATCAACGAGATCTGCACCGGCCATGTCCTGACCATGGACTTTGATGAGAAGAACACTGTCTCTTACTGTGGAACCAAGGTTGGTCCCGAGGGTGAACTTATCATCCTCTTCACCAATGGCAACTTGGGTACCAACACCAACTATGCTGCCGACAGCAACAACATCACCAAGGCTTTGAACGAGGCTCCTTCAACTGCTCGACCCATGAGCTTTGTTGCCAGGGCCTCTATTAGAGAAGACTATGACTCCAATGTTAAGCAGATTCAGGAGAAGCTGAACAAGATCCTCGGTCAAGAGATCACCATCGTCCCTAACTTTGAGGACAACTTTGAAAAGCTCAAGGGTAAGGCTAGTGCTGATAGCGGTTGGGAACAAAACTTTGGAAGATCTCACTTCTCCTACCTTGAAGGCTTGGTCTCCCAGCTTGAGTATGACAAGTTCGGTGAGGATGATATGCTTCAGGAGGGACTCCTCGAGGCCATGGACAAGCATGCTGTTCATGTCCGCGTTGTAGACAAGACCAAGAGGTCCTACAACGAGACTGTCATTGAGGACGGTATTCTGTATCTTCAGGTAAGAAGTTTTGCATGTCTCTTTACCATATGGGTGGGAACTAACATGGATTACAGACTTCCCCTTCAGACTTTGGTGTTAACACTCATCAAATTTCAAGTGATCTTGTCAATATCCTGTAGACTGGAGAAGCCTCAATAGCTTACACTACATAGAGACATACCTATTAAAGGAATTTATACATAATTCTTGGGCTAGTAGTGATTGTTACAGCGTGCTGAAGCTTGATAAACATGAATATAGTAGATAATCAGAACCATAGCACAGTAAGGGGAGAAGTTTTCGTCGTCGCTGGCGGTGTCTAGTTGATGGCAAGCGACATCAGTACGGAGTCTGGCCATTTACGGGTAGCCCTGCCAGACTGGTCACTGGCTACACAATGCAATTGAGCCGATTCTTGGCGAACATGCACATCGTGGACGTCTAGAGCAGAGTCATCGGCCAAAGCAAAAAGATTGAGTCATTCTCGTCATAAGACAAAAGGTCAGGACCGAGCGTGGATCGAACACGCGACCTAGGGATCTGCAATCCCTCGCTCTACCACTGAGCTATCGATCCCTGACTTGTTTATGTTTCTGACGATATTGGTTGTGCATATATGTCTTAGATGCAGACGTGGCGTTGAGGCACAAAAAAGGACACGACTCCAGATCGTGGGGTTGTTAGGTCGGCAAAAGAGAGGACCGAGCGTGGTTCGAACACGCGGCCTAGGGATCTGCAATCCCTCGCTCTACCACTGAGCTATCGATCCCTGACTTGTTTATGTTTCTGACGATATTGGTTGTGCATATATGTCTTAGATGCAGACGTGGCGTTGAGGCACAAAAAAGGACACGACTCCAGATCGTGGGGTTGTTAGGTCGGCAAAAGAGAGGACCGAGCGTGGTTCGAACACGCGGCCTAGGGATCTGCAATCCCTCGCTCTACCACTGAGCTATCGATCCCTGACTTGTTTATGTTTCTGACGATATTGGTTGTGCATATATGTCTTAGATGCAGACGTGGCGTTGAGGCACAAAAAAGGACACGACTCCAGATCGTGGGGTTGTTAGGTCGGCAAAAGAGAGGACCGAGCGTGGTTCGAACACGCGGCCTAGGGATCTGCAATCCCTCGCTCTACCACTGAGCTATCGATCCTATTCTTATCAATATCTGTCATAACTTTTGTATATACCGACGCGTGGTGCAAAATATTTCCGCCGAGGCTTCAGGGTAAGGAAAATATTCTCGCCTCCGGAATTGATCTGTGAAAGGGTTTGGTGTTGGTATGTATAGTCCTTGAACTTGCGAAGAATGAATGATAATGAAAAGTCAAGGTTTGAATTGAACTTGTGCCGTGGTTATACAGACCTATTGTGTCATTACATCCACAATTGCGTGCCGGAGATCCCGTGATAATCATGGATCATGTCATTGTGTTGACTCGCGACGGCTTCTCACAGGACGATCGCCACAAGCAATGGCACACGGCCAATTATCGTGAGCTCACGTCGGCTTCAGCAGCAAGTTGCTGCATAATCTTTGCCTGGAAACATAGACTAAATTGTCATGAAAGTTTACATAACAAACAATCCCCAATAGGCAAATTGTTGGTATTGCCAGTCAGTTGATGGTTCACAGTGTAAGTATTTTGTAAAATGCTGTAAGTCCTTAAACCAGTGACCGCGTGTATAGTTCTCAACGATAGGATATCCCTAATCGACTTAGTGATAACAGTGAAATAGGCGAGAAAATGCAAATTCTTCATCGAAAATGACCTTTTCCTTTATCTAATTGACTGGTGCATAGTCATTAACCTCGAGGCATCCCGAGTCCTCGTACTTGACCCCAAGCTGAAAAGTCTGCAGCCAACAGTCCGAACTTCAAAGCGCTGCAGACGCACAGAGATATCACCAACAGCGCTTTGACATGGAAGTGACCCTTCAATATTAAATATATTACTCGAATCTCCTGCTGCCACCTCTTATTGATCAGGCCTTACTGCTTCATAATGTCCCATTCCTACTATCCCAACGTAAACTGCCGCCTGGCCAATATTGCGAAGCGAAGTGCTTTCATTTCCCAGGGAGGTATGAACTCAACCCAAAGATCGAGGTTCGAGGAGCAGTTTCCTGAGTCCCCTCTCCCTCTTATCACGGTGACGAAAGTGAAGTGTCGATCTCTCTTTGGCGAGATTAAACTCCAGTTCCGAGCCAACTTGGCGGATCTGAGGAGATGACAGGGTGAAATATGAGATGATCCCACTGTATAAGTTCTGTCTCATCAATAAATATTGGGAGCACCTTGTAACATCACACGTCAATGACGTCGAAGCCGTGATTTGGTAGCATCGTCCCGAGGGTAGCTGAACTCGAGTCCATCACAACCCTGTCAATGTCAAATGACCAGCAAGACAGTTGGGCTCGTCCAAAAGAAGTCCAACTATCCAAGAAAGTTCAAGAGGCGTACTCTGAAGGGGGCAAGTGACAGACTTCGAAACATGAACAAACAAAGCCGTTGTCCTCAACTAGTTCGCAAACGATGAAGTTTGTGAACCAGCCCAGATTTATCAGGTCTAGATCGCGAATGGGGCTTGAAGGGACGATGCTATTCAACATCCCCATTGGCTAGTATTCTTTTGGAGTTCTGGTGTTACCCGTTACTGGCAACATGTGTGTTAGTGGCAGCAAACAACCCCTGGAACTCGCGTCCACGGACGCTTCGAAAGCCGTTGCATGACGAAATCACAAGTTCTCGAAAAGGAGAAAGCAAAAGGACAAACAACCCCTGGACGAAGGCGGAATAAACTTCCCCTTGACCTGCCGAGGCAGAAAGGGAGCGCATTGCCTGATATGTCGTGTCTTTACTCAAATGGGCGACTCGATTCAAAGGGTCGTGCCCTTGGCGGAATAGTGCAGTCGATCTTGTGGGCAAACAGGTTAGAGGGAGCTGATCTAAGCGTTGATCTCTGTGACTGCCGAACGGTTTCCGAGGACTCTGAAACAAGCACAAACAAAACACGGATGCTCAGAATTCTCTGTTGGATGTAAATATCCTCGTATTTTGTTCGTAGGCTGACTGAAATGGTTGAAAAAGAGTACTTTGTCGGAAGTTTACAACGCCACATTCTGATTGTCCCATGTCGCCGTTGGGACGGCATTTCCACTTTTCGATCCGCCAAAGGATGTAATTTCTGGGGGCGAATATTAGTTACTACAGGGATTCAGCAAGGGTCCAAGTATTGGGATGAGGACTCGATAATGCCTCCTCAGCAGGACTATTCGATAATATTTGAGCAAATATTATCGATATAGGCTTCAATTATAGCGATAGTCAAAGAACCATTCATGCACGCTACTCCGTAGACTAGAAGCAATTCTGACTCGAGCAGCCTCTCTGTTCCTTTTTTCTCATCATGTTGGCGTCCCCGCTCGAGGCTTTGATTCGTCTGTGCGTCGGCACGAATGAAACCGAAACAAACGGTTCTGAAACAAGTCTGTCTGACGTGTGAACTGTCTCTCGAAGAAGGGCTCTCTCTCTCTCTCTCTCTGATTTCATCCAGTCTCGTCTAGACCGAGGCCTCGAAGAAGAATACGAGGACAAACACGCCGTTCAGATGGCACAAGTAATGCTGTGCTCTACCCGTTCTAAGTCTTGCAGTTTCAAGAGCAAACACAATAACTTCAACATCTTATGGCTCGTGTGACGTCAGACTCAGACTTTGACAAGAGACACCCCTGATGATCATTGCGGAGCCCATCCAATGGCTTGGCCCTCTTCTCACGATGCATGTCGGTGCTTTTGTATTGTGATGCGCCGTCTTGACCAGACTCTGAGCTAGTGATGTGCATTAGATATCCCCTTCTGTAAAAAGATGCTCCATAGTAGTCTATAGTTCCTCTCCCTGATCGTCCTGTCTCTCTCCATCCTTTTCCTCAGCCCTTTCCCCATACTATCTGCCCGATATTTTTGTGCATCCCCTTCATTTTTTTATTTATTAAATATTTACCCTTCTCCCCATTTTTCGGTATTCATTCCTTTGCTCCCATTTCTGACAGAAGAGCAAACATTTATCAACACTCGTTTCAGTTGTGAAACCAGAGGAAAGCTGTGCTCCCTCACCTTACACTTGCAAGACTGTCCTGTGCTGTGCTGTACACTCGACGCTTGACTCCATCAAGGCACAAACAATACTTGGACTCTCTTTCATCTTTACTACTTTTACTCGTTCGAGCGCACTCTTTGTCTTTTCATCAATCATCATCGCTTGCATTACACCCTCATTAATTCCCTTGTCGGGTCTCTCAACATCGAGACAACCAGTACCTACGACACCTTCATTTCCCGTTTCCACAAACACTTGAACACGAAACGCCGATCAAATTCCTTCCATTTTCAGAAGCTTAAACATCGATCCATCTCTCACAAACAACTAATCTATTTGATCATCCCCAAACATCCCATCTGTTCGAGGCTTCTACTCAATCTTGCCGCTGAAACGATCTCCCCAAGGGTAGTTTCACTAAAACACAACGCATAAACTTCCCTGCCCACGATCAGCTTCAATTCGTCGTTCGAGACCAAATCCTCCAGTGTGTTGGTCCCGTCAGCCTGGTTGTCAGCACCCTAGCGCGTTTCAACTGAGTTGCCAGTTTATTGATCGAATGATATCAATGCTTCGTGCTTGAGCCAAGCCACAATCATTCAATCATATAGTTGGACGTTTACTCTCGATACCTTTGCCGTCGAAGCATTTATTTTCCCAAAAACTACAGCTCTTACTGTTGAACATAAGACAACAACCTTCTTTCACAATGACTGGACAATCTACAAGACGATGGCTCCAGCTGTCTTTCCTTCTCATGGCTGGTTCCGCCTCAGCAGGATCCCTCAAGCTGTCAGACTTTGAGTCTATCAGTGACAAGTCGTTTCCAGAGACCTGTGTTCAAGCCTACGATACACCACTCTCCCAATGCACACCCAAAGACTTCACTGATGGCAAGGCATGCAGTGCTGCTTGTAAGGACTCGGTTCAACAAGCCCAGGGCTTCATCCAAGCATCATGTGGTGATGTCTCAGCCAACTCAGAATCGCTTCTAAGCCGCGGCCAAAAGGGCAATCTTGTCGCTGTTCTCTGTCGAGATGTCGATGAACCTCAATCGATACCCGAGTCTGCACCTCAGACTCAGCCTCAGACTCAACCCAAGCAGGAGCCCGAGCCTGAAAAGACTCAGCCCCCAGCCACAACAACGACCTCTGCTTCTTCTACCAAGGTCTTAAAGATTGTCTTAATTGAGACTGGCCACACTACTTTAGACGACAAGTCAAACGGTAGTCTGGATGGACCACCCCTGTCTTCAGTGGACGAGGACCTTGCCACCAAGAGCACTGTTCTTGCAATCGACACAGACCAGCCAACTGGCTCTCTTCCCATGCCTGCTCCTCCTAGCATGATGACTTCTGTGACAAAGCCGAGTGCTGCTAGCCACACGGCGGCATCAGCCAGCGAGGAGTCAACTCCTACGCCCACAACGGCTGGCGGTTCTGTTCATGCCCCCAGCTTTGGGTTCATGTGTGCTTCTTTGGCCATGTCTGCTATCATGTACATGGTAGTCAACTAAAGATACTTAGTTGGTAATTCATTTCAATTTTGAGGGGTGTAGGATCACTGTACTTGTTTGACCGAGGGAGTTAGTAAATTTCTGTAACAACTTGAGATAGAAGTCAACGGAAGTGAGAGAAGCTCACGTCGTTATGCATTTAGATAGCCGGAAATTAACAGAATACCCTTCAAGATCGAACTCGCCCAGACTGGCCTAGAATGCAGAATTTGAGAAAAGTGGTATGTGATGCTGAGTTGGTTGCCTTGCTCATTGTGATCGAGTAACACCTTCACGTGGCGCTCAGCGATTTCTCAGTGTTCACAAAACTCTGTAACACGGAAGATGTAATACTTGATCGCGACAAAAATGAAGCCATCGTCAAATCATGTTCTTGTGCATTTGCACCACCTGGTGCGTTTTTACCTCTTGGCGACTTCACGTGTGAGCTTGGCCCTTGGCGCCGAGTGATGGGCGAGCCTGGGGTGCATCTCTGGGCCTCTTGGCTGCACCAGAATCAGATCTCCAAGCGATATCCAAGAGATATCCAAGACTTGCAAAATGTAACGTTAATCGACCTTTCTTTATGTTGGGCTCTCTTCACAACGTGCAAGACGTTGTGTGCGTAAGACACGATGCCCTCATAAAGTCGTACAGGAGGTTCGCAGATCTCTTTTTAGAATGAGCGGTGTATCAACTTTGTGGTTATTGCTGTGGAGTTAAGAAACCCAGATTCAAGGTGAGAGGAGACTGAAGCTTTGCTGCAAACAGGGTAGCGTGTTTTCCATCGTTCTCACTGACGTCAACAAACCAAGGCGATTGTCAATGGGTTCAAATTTGATCTTGCGGATTTACAGTGGCATTGGATGGAGTCTAGGTTGCCTGAGGGATTCTGCCTTTACTTGTAGAAGTTGAAGGGCCTGGGCCAAGTGCTCCTGATCTAGACCCCCCAAGAACCCCAACTAGACCGTTGTCAAAGCCGCTTTATCAACCATTGACAGCTCAGGCGTTTCGTGACAGATAATAAGCATAAAATCGATCTCGCAGCTTGACAGGGAAATAAGGTTGTCTACGGTTATGGCCGCCGGCGCGGTAAAAAATTAACCTTGATTTGACAGACCCTCCCTCAAACCATGTGCGAAAAGCAACAGAGCCTGGGAACTGGATTCACACGAAATTTTAGTGGAACAGATGCACAAATCAAGAGAGGCAACAAGAGCCGGGACGTTTCTCCTTCGGTCGCCCTTTCCAGCGAGAGAAGCGCCTTGAATGGGCACGCTTTCGTGGGGTGACGATGCAGCTCGACGTTAATGTTCATCACTGATGATGATCATGCTGCGGATCAGTCTATCACTCGAGACGAGGAACAAATGACTCGAGATGATAAAACCGAGGTTAGCGCTGCAGGCTCGTCATTGAGGGAATGCTATAGTGCCAAGAAATACAGGTATTGGCTGGAGGGTCTTCAGGTGGTCATATCCATTGCCCGCAATCTTGTTCTTTGTGTTCTTTTTTCTTCTTCGGGGGAGAATGTTAAACTCGTGTTGGAGACCGAAGGACAGGGTTCTAAAATCTTGTACGGAACTGCCGGGGTATGGTGTGCGAACGCTGCCTTTATCGTCTCGGTCTCGGGTAACTAGGTAGTTGGAGGCTGTTCAAGCAATCAACGGCTAGCTGCATATCTCGTTCATTGGTCCCCTATCATATCATGATACGGCCTGGTTGCTTTTGTGAGACTATTGATTAGGCGTCGTCAGGCTTCGGATGCCATTCTCATCGAAATTTGATACAAAACAGGTGCGCATATGTGTGATCGATCATACAGGATAGCGTATTAGAGAAAGATGTTGAGGCGAGAAGTGGAACCAAACCGTTGCTATCGAAAATAAAGTCATGGCGTTGGACAAGGGAGATGCATGGGGGACAAGACGAGCTGACAAGTAAGACAGGGCTTATTCAGATGTGATCTGGGACGTTATCGTGAGACTGTATTTGAGTCTCGATTTGAAGGTCCAAAACTGGACTGAGCCTATACGAGTATATCTTGGAGCTTGTTTTACAACATCAGGTTCGAAATATTGAACAGAAGAACACGATAGATCTCTCGAGCCTTGGTACATTGCCGTCTTGTCCGGCTTGGGTGTCGTGAATCTTCTGGATAAAAGCAGCGGCGCATCAAACGGGCCCGCGAGCCCCCACTGAGAGGCTCTTGGCGGCACTTGATCCGACTGGGGCCCCCTGTTCCTTGACCATGAACTTGTGGTTCACTGGGCTGTGTGCGTTGCGTCGTGAGATGGATGGATGGCTGTCGATGGTGACGATCCCCTTGCTCGTCAATGAACCTCGATTTTTGCGCTAGAAAACCCCCCCTCCGGAGACACAAATCTCCAGCCGATGAGGTCAAAAGAAACTCCAGTGGGAGCCGTTGGACATTTTGAACTTCTATCGTCATCTTTCGTGGCTGTATTCTGTTGAGAATACCTTATCTGCTGTCCAGATTAACTTCGATAAGTCTCAAACGCCTAGACCTTTGTGGCGCCGAGTGGCGTGCCATCCCGGCTTTACAGGCATTGTTGCCCTGTGACGACACTGTTCAAGGCCTGTGCCATTTTTGAGTCCGGCGCCGATTGACGGGGATCAAACGGTTCGCTCTTGCGTGTTGATCTCGGGCGGCCGTTGAGAAATTCTTTTTCTTCCATTCCTTCCCTACAACAACAATTGACATTGGGCCAACTGTTCCTGTTTGACGGTCTTCCCCTCTTGTCGCTCTTTTACTTACTACCTACTCCTTCTCGTGGACGTTGCGCTTCTTCGCATACGAGTTGCCAACAACAATTGATCGCGGCGTCGCCGCCCGATTTCCTCCCCCTTGCGATAACGTTGCTCTGATCGCTTCCGAGATCGCGACACTACAAGTATCGAGCGCCGTCAAGGCCAATCGAACGACCGAACCTCTTGTATTCTTATTCCTATAACCCAAAATGGCGTGGAGTCACCTTGATATCACCAAGCCGCACTTGGTGTACATTATCCTCGGCGGCTTCACTTCCCTTTTCATGCTCTGCTCGTCCTTTATCAAGGAGCGCATGTACATTGGTGAAGCCACAGTCGCTACCCTTTGTGGCGTAATCTTCGGTCCTCATGCAGCCAATTTGATCAATCCCCAGGAATGGGGTTCGACCGATATCGTTACCGTCGAGTTCTCCCGAATTGTTCTTGTTGTCCAATGTTTCGCTGTCGGTGTCGAATTGCCCAAGTTCTACATGGAGCGCCATTGGAAGTCTGTTGTCTTTCTTTTGGTCCCAGTAATGACGTTTGGCTGGCTCATCGTCAGTTTGTTCATCTTCTGGATGATCCCTGCATTGGATTGGCTTGACAGTCTTGTTGTGGCTGCGTGTGTTACTGCTACTGATCCTGTCCTGGCATCATCTGTGGTAGGAAAGGGCAAGTTTGCAAAGCGAGTCCCTAAGCATCTTCGAGATTTGTTGTCCGCCGAGTCTGGGTGCAACGACGGAATGGCATTCCCATTCATTTATCTGTCTTTGTACCTTATTCAGTACAAGCGAGATGCAGAGGATGTGAGCTTCCATTTCGTTGTATACGTTCTTCTCTACGAATGCATCTTCGGCGCCATCTATGGATTTGTCATTGGTTACATCGCTCGCCACGGTATTAAATTCGCCGAAAAGCGCGATCTCATCGATCGAGAGAGTTTCCTGGTCTTCTACTTCGTTGTTGCGCTCTGGTGTGCGGGCTCTGGTAGTATCCTGGGCATGGACGATTTGCTCGTCGGTTTCGCAGCAGGAGTTGGTTTCTCCAACGACGGTTGGTTCGGCGAGAAGACTGAAGAGTCTCATGTTTCCAACGTTATCGATCTTTTGCTTAACTTGACTTATTTCGTCTACTTTGGAACCATCATCCCGTGGTCGCAGTTCAACGATGGTCGATTTGGCATGATGGCTTGGCGTCTTGTGGTCATCGCCGTTTTTGTCCTTTTCTTCCGCCGGCTTCCTATCATGTTGGCTCTCAAACCGTTTATACCGGACGTCAAAACATGGCGTGAGGCATTGTTCGCTGGCCATTTCGGCCCAATCGGTGTCGGCGCCATCTTCGTTGCGATCTTGGCACGAGCTGAACTGGAGCATGGCGAGCCGGTACCCTTGGCGGAGATGCCACCCGAGAATACTGAACATTATGAGCTCATATATCTCGTGTGGCCGATAGTGTGCTTCATGGTAGTCACGTCGATTCTTGTCCATGGCTCCTCAATTGCCGTCTTTACTCTTGGAAAGCGTATTAACACCTTGAGTTTGACCATGTCTTACACAGCTGCTCCCGAAGATGGTCCATCTTGGATGAACCGGCTACCCCGAATCTCTTCTCAATCCAGATCTCAAGCTAGATCCTTCTCTGAGGTGTCCATCGACGAAGAGAAGGGACCCCAGCCCCCTCCCGATGCTCTCGTTCCTCCCAATGGGCCTTATAGTCATCTTTTGCGCAGACAGCGAGACCAAGGTGGCAGCCGCTCGTCATCGGTTGTGTCGCGAAGGCGCAAGCATAAGAACTGGGATGACAGTGGCCCCGGAGGACCGATTGCTCAGTCTGCAATCTTCCCCCAGCGACAATCATCCACGCCTTTATCCCCTACAGAACAGTATGAGCAAGAGGAATCACCCTCACAAGGCAACACCGAATCAACTTTGGCGGCTGATGATAGCTCCAAGGAGAAGGATACCGACAAGATTGAGAAGGCAGAAGATAGCCCTGCCGGCAGTAGCGGCCAGAAGACACCTCCCAAGACTGTAAATGTATACGAGGAGGGTCACGATTTGATATTTGAGAACAAGGATGGGGACGTTCTTGATGTTGAACCCGCTCCCGAATCTCACAGACAAGACGAAGACCATGTGCCCATCACAGCCGTTAAGCCTGGCCACGACAAGCTATGGACTATCTCTGGTTTCAAGAAGAGGGTGGGCGAAGTCTACAACACTGAATTGGAAAAGCGCAAGGAAAAGGGC